CTGGCAACAAAAAGTATTCTCCTGAATGAATCTGTAGCCTTGAAAATTTCTAAAATCAAAATATAAAAAAGGTAAGGTTTTTTTTTGGTGCATCTTATATTTTGTATGACACTCGTAGTATCATACTGTTCAGTTTTTATGCTTTAACAAAATTAAACTACGTAATACTGACTTATGCCCTAACATTGTCATATACTTCCGACATAGCAAGGCATTATTGTATTTATTGTGAGGTTTGTATAAAGGATCAATTTAAAATCTATATTACTTAGTTAGATTTTGTTAAAGTACGAGTATTAAACAGTTTTTTTTTTTTTTTTTTTTTTTTTTTTTTTTTTTTTTTTNTTTTTTTTTTTTTTTTTTTTTTTTTTTTTTTTTTTTTTTTTTTTTTTTTTTTTTTTTTATGGAGCGGGTACAAGAAAGTCTTCACAGATACCCCAGCTCATTTGGTGATAGTGTCGGATTCACCCGGTGTGCCTACTGATTGAAAACTAACCTCTCCGCATGGGACAGGTCCGTAAGGACCACTCCCCTAGAAGACAAAAGGGCATAAGAGAAGAAAGAAGAAGGAAAATAACGGAGAATTTTGGCCAGCTCACTCTCAAAGGAATGAGAGGAGAGGCACTTATGCATCTTGGCGAAGGTCGAATAAAAAATGAATGTGTATCAAAAAAAGTTTGCCGTTTTTGTATTTTGATTTTAGAACTTTTCAAGGCTACAGATTAATTTATCCAGTGGACAGTAGGTGCTTGGGTACCCAAGTATACAGTTATACTTCTATGAAAATATATGGCAAACAATATAATCATGATATAAAAATACCTTCTATGAAACGATATTGTGTACAAAGGTGGTGCAATTATCGTTGGAATGAGTATACCGACGTTAGTTGGGTGTTGTTTCAATAAATATTTTAATATTTATTAACTGAACAACTACAACCAATAGATTACAGTACAATATAATATGAATAATATACAGGCTGGCCAGTGTAAGACTGTGCGCTTTCATCGAATCTTTGGATGATTTCAAAACAACTTTCTACTGCCTACGCTGATTACGTCTCTAACGTCATGCTCACATCTGTCGCATAGGCTCACTCACTTATTTATTGTCTATATTGATTACCCGAAATAAAATCGTATCCAAGAAATTAAGAAAAAGTATTCTGCAGCACCACTTTCTTTAATAGGGTGGTATTTCTGTGCCTGTGAATGTCCCTTCAAGACGTTCATCACACGTACGTTGTTGAAAAAGGTAGTATTCACATCAAACATGTATTTAAAATAGCATAAAAAACATCCGAAAAAATTACAGGTCGTTCAACTGTACTTTTTTTTACATTTTTAATTTTTTAAAATTGCAATTTAATATGTAACTTTGTGGTAAAATCAAGTAAAATTGCATTTATATTATCTGTAAAAGTCGAGGTAAAAGTCTTCCAATTTTTGTAGTATAAAAGATTAGTTTAGATACACATATTACATTTTTTTGTGAATATATTCACAATTTAGTTTTTAAATAAACTTAGAACGAAGAGATTAAGGATGCGTAAAAGCATGTATGTGAGAATATCTACATGAGAAAAACAACTGACAGCGTTGCTGCATATATTTGCGTTCCTCTGACTGCTCTGAACTTTTCCCCGGCTAACTATGTGATAAACATACTTTATGTTTATATTTACTGAGTTATTTCATTTTGCAACGTAGCCCTTTTTTGCATTTTAATTCACAAAACCCTAGTAGCAAAAATTGATTAGCTATTAAAAAAGACTAGAAGTACAACTCTTAAGGAAGAGAATAAGCCCAAATACAATATTCTATGAGCTACCAAATAGGTAATAATTAAAATGCAAATAAGTTCTTTTTTAATGGTTAAATGGATTTTTTCAAGAAATTTGCAAGGAAAAGATTCCTTAAAAATACCACTCATACAACACGTTTAAGCCTACAGTCTATTGAAATTGTAGACGTCTAAGCATAAAACTTTTTGTTGAAGACGTTGTTTAAAAAACTCTGATTTTTAATGAATTTTTGTATTTAAACAAAAAAAAAATCAACTTGTACTCAACTAGTCTCATTTTGTAGATCTTTTTAGTATCTACAATCTCTTCTTCAATCTTTTTTTTTTTCTAAGTAGCCAAGAAAAAATTATAATTGCGAAAAAGCACGTTTTCAGAGCTCTACCGGAGAATAAAAAAACCTGCAATAGTTCAGCTGTTAAATTTTAGGTCCATTATTAATACATTCAAAGACGAACATGAATGCGTGAAAATATCTCGGTTGGCATTGTTTTCTGAAAGACCCTTTTAATTGACTTTTTTCTGGTCTATTATGGATTCTCGACCATTGAACAGAGAAGCTTGATTGATAAATACTTTTAATGTAGCAATGTATATAAGCGATTCAATGATATCGATAATCAATCTTGAAAAATGTTTGGAAAAAAGGGAGGTATACAAATTGTCATGAAAGGTGAAAAAATTTGTGATGGGAACGTAAGTTTTTTGTAACAACCTATATTTCATAAATACAAAATTCAAAACGTTGTTATTAAGAAATTGTAAAAAATTTTGAAAATACCGCGTAATTATCGTATTTATTATAGTTAGCTCATATTATATAGTTAGGATTATATTAAGTTTGTCTTTTTTTCAGCAGTTTTCAAAAATCACTTTATGTAACTCTAAAGAAAGCTAAATATTATTTATAACTTTAAGCTTCGTGAAAAATTGGCTTTATTAAATGTAATCTTAGGTCCCCTTTACCTACTTTTTTTTGTTTTTAAAATGAGTCTTGCAATTTTTACGTTTCTTTTGTATGATTGCTTCATCGAAGTGAAGACTCAATGTTTTGTGATGTTTGAACTCATTCATCGATTGCTAGTCTAATATAAAATATTTTGGCATTACCTTTTTCCAACATATTCTCAAGCAATGTTATCAAACATGATGGTTCCTTTTTTTTTTTTTTTTTGACCAGTTTTCAACACTTTGGCGAAATTCTGTAAAATTCAATGTCCCATATATTATTGATAAAGCCTACAATAAATTTTGCTAATGACACAGTGAGAGAAATCCATTTTCTTTTGAGGTATATTGTAAATAAAAAAATGTCTGTGGATGCTGTATTGATTAGGTAGATAACTATGATTTTCTCCAGTCAGCCCCTAAGCCTCCTATCAACAAACAACATAATAAATGAGTTTTTTTATTTATTGCCACTTATATTTGAAGTGACACCAATAATACTTGAAGCTCATAATGGACAGTAAAACACCTACATATTTAGTTTTGATAGTGCTCATTTTGCAGCAAACTCTAATGTTAATATTACTTGAATTTTCTTTGAACTATGAAAAAAATTTTATACCATAACCATTAAAAAAATTCTATAGTATTGAACAATACATTTATCCATAACGTTTTGAGCTAAGTAGTTATACATTACGTTGTAGCATCTGAGTTGCCTAATTTTCCAATATTTCTTTTGGTACGGAGAAAATTTAGAATATCATGAAATAGACGGAGAGTTAACAGAACCCGAGGATGGCCACGAAAGATGAAATATTATAGTTATGTTACTAACCTAAAGAATTTCTGTGAATTAATTTTGTGTTTTCGTACAAAATATTTTTTTTCTACCGTATCAAAATAGACATTTTTAATTTTTTATCAAGGTCAAATTTGTGTTAAGTTATCAAAAACCTCTCTATAAATAGTTTTTTTACATTTTAGCAGTATTTTCTTTCTTTTGTTGGCCCCATAAATGTTTGCTATTTCAAATTTAACAATTGTCATTTAAAATTTGCCTTTAACGACCCCATGTTCAGCAACCCAAAAAACTCCTATCTACTAATTTTCGTAAAATTTTAGACAGTTTTTAATTTTTTTTTGGCTGCCATATTGGATTCGCAATTTTGAATTTTCAGATGCCAATGCCAAATTTATGATCAGCAACCCATTAAATCTACATAATCACTATTTTTATAACAAAAATGGTAACCTTTCAAAATCAATTGATATTCTGAAGGAAATGCTGTAGGGGGAGCCTTTGGGGTGTTACACCTTGGCCCATTTCAGCTTGGACCATTTTTTCTATATTTTATAATGTTTAAGCTTGAAGCTCCAAAAAGAATCATCTCGATTGGATTATCACAGCTACTGCTATTTTATTTTGACACAAAAAAAACTGCGTTTGGTCCCACGGTGTGATGGTTTTGAGTATATGGTTAACGTACCTTTAGCTTATTACTTAAGTAAATCTCAACGAAAGTTAAAATCATATTCTATATTACTGACAAATCTACAGTGAGCTCAAATTTTTATGCGTAGCAGCTTAGCATGTATTTGTGTGTGAGTTACGTTAGTATTTCCTACAACATCAAAAGCATATATTATTTAGTGTTTTCAAGAATACTTTTAGTTGTGATGTAATAATTTATTTTGTCGTCAACTACTTTTACTTTTTACACAAAATTAAAATTGGTGTATAAGCATGACTATTTATAACAATTTGTAGTATGTCACATGCATCCAATATTTTGAATTATTATTGGTTCCCTAATCTTTTACCCGCAGTTGCAAAAGCTTCAAATTTTTTTGTACGTATTATAACTTAGAATTTTTCTTTGTTACACTGTTAATATAACCAAATAAAAAATAATTTTTTTGATGAATGCAACAACTTTTTCATAAGTAGTCATGCTTCTACAGCAATTTAAATTTTGTGCAATTATTTTAAAATTCTAGCTATAATATTTTTAGTTATATTGGCTGTATTATCACCTTTTCGTTAACGATAATTGTAGTACCGTGTTTAGGTGTTATTTTTACATGCTAGAAAAAATTTAAATTTAGTTAAGAGGTTCTAATATTATTTGAACTAAATTCCTTCTAAAACTTTCAACAGGTTAACGAATATAGATTGTGCTCGGACGATATGTCTTCCTAAAACATTCAAATATTATTAGCTTTTTATATCAGTTTATTTTTTTAGGTCGTGTTACTCATACTTTTAAAAAAAGGAAGGAAAAGACTGAAGTTATTAATCAATTGATGTCGAAGGATGTTCCAACTATTACGTCAAAGACAAAAATTGGGTTAAATGATATGTCAGATGAATATAGATATGGTCATTGGTGTTACGATACACCAGGAACTATCAACGACGATCAAATTCTTAATATATTAACAACTAATGAGCTTACTAAAACACTACCTGGTAAAATTATTTCCCCACGAACATTTTGCATGTGGGCCGACCAGACAATATTTATTGCAGGACTGGGGAGACTAGATATTGTGGAAGCCTCTCACTTTATAAGGTAATACATATATATGTCTGAAATATACCCTTTTATTTCTTTTTTTTTTTATCAAGAGCATTAATCATTGAGAGCTTACCTCTAACATTACACTCTAAAGTACTAAAACTAGCATTTTTTTCAAGATCTTTTTTCAAAAAAATTATCTTCGTTAACAAAGAAGAAAAAAATGTATATGTTACCTTATAGTTATTTTGATCAATAGTTTAACGCGTGTACGAATTTTCTAAAAACCAATATAATTTACTCATCTAATCTTTTATTAAGATTTATTAATTATTAAAAGTTG